AAGGGCAAATAGGCTTTAGAACTTGCAGGCGGTACTCTGATGAAATGAGCATCAAAGAGGTTTGCAAGATCTGATAAGCGTGTATGTATTTTTTTGTGGACCTTAAACTGGATTTACATACACAATGTAGCTGTGTAAGAGGTGGCAGAACCAGCTTACTAAAACCTGAAGTCAAAATGACTTCCACACCTGCTGAGTTCTTAAAAAAGAATTGAAAGAGGACAGTTTGCTGATTCAGCATGGCCTTATAGTTCCTGACCTTACCTTTCTATAAAAAACCAAACTGTTTCATCTCAGTGTAATAGTTGTGTTCACCTAGTCCTGTTATGGTCTGGATCAAGAACTGCGTGTGGATTTTTTTTTCAAAATTGTAGTGAGGGAGATGCATTGAATTAATATTTTTTTCATCTCCTTTAAAAATAAATGGTAGCCTTTATTTAAATGTGTGCTACTTTGAATAACTGTGTAAATAGCCTGGGGTTCTAGATCAGCAGCACATAGTAAGTATTGCCCTTCTGTTTTGCTTTTTTGGTGACAGTAAAGGAAGTACCTATAGTAACATTTGTTAGGGTATGTTAAAATTCTTAACGTCTGAGAAGAATGCACAGAGGTCTTTTTACCTGCAATAAAGCTTCTTGTTTTTGCGATTTAGTGGCATGCAGGCTCTGTGTGAGATATGAATAATTCTAGTTACAGATAGAGGTACATGACTTCAGTCAGTATCATTACTGGGGGGAAAAGTGTGTTTCCGTATCATAATTAACCATTGATAGCTCACGTGCCATGAACCGGTTTCTTTAATGTTAACTTCAAACTTTGTTTATATTTCAGATTAGCTGGCATGAAGCTTTTCGCAAAAGTGTGGTTTAGCACATGGCTAGCAAACCAACTCTGCTAAGAAAAACTGCAATGAAATATGCAAAAAGATTGTGTGTTCTGGCACAGCAGTTGGTATTAACAGACAGTGGTGCAGCCTTTGTGGTCTGATAGGATACATTCCTCAGCTAGGGAGGCTGCGTAGCAAAGATTGCTCTTGGGAAAAGTCCCTGAATTCTTTGGCTCTTAGACAACAAAGTCATACCAGTGACACGGGATGTTGGAGGTTTTGTAAGGAGGAAGGACTTGTGATGAGTTTTGCTTTTGGTTTTTTGTTTTGAGTTTTTTTTAATGTTGAGTTACATGGGAAACAGACTTTGACTGTGACAGAATGCTTGGGGTTTTTTTCCAGTTACTGTAGTTCTCTAAACGTTTAAAAAGTGTGGCTGTAAACAGGGAGCAAGAGAACTTTTACGATGTCAAAACTTTAAAAGCAAAAAAGTTTCTGTTCTTCACACAGTTTAGAGTACGTGATAGCAGGCGTTGTGAAATCCTGATTTTAACTCTCGCGTGATAGAGCCATGAGACTCCTGTGCAGAGTGATGCTGTTCGCCAGTGCCTTTCACTGAAGTGACCTCAGTGCGTCCAATTTTTCTGGAGCCTGGGCTGTGTGTGGGCCAGCAGAGTCCTCTATGTTCAGCTAGTTCCATGACAGACCTTTAATGAATCTTCATTTGTAGCTCACTTTTGAATAGCATTAGTATTCTGGCTAATTGCATGCACTAAATGCAAAAGCTAGTATTTATATAGAATATACGTAAAGTAGGTGTGGGGTTTTTTTGTTTGGTTGGGTTTTTTTTTAGTCTTATCAGTGGAGAAGAACATGGTGTCCTGAGAGGCAGCCATCTTTGGATGGCTAAAGATTAAAATAGCCAAAATGAACAAAATCAACATCTATGTGGTGTCTTATTTTAAGTTCAGTTGTCTTTTCTGTGTGCCACCAAAACATTAGATGTTCTTTTTAATAGTAAAGCAAAGCAGAGGAGCAAGTGACAGGTTACTGTAGTATCTGGTGTTTTCTTTGGCCATTGAGCACACACATGCCCTCATGTCGCTGTCCTTACTCTGCCCCACGTTTCACTCGCTGGCAGCCCCTTCTTTTCAGCAGCACGAGGAGCAGGTGAAGAGTTTGAAAGTCCTTTATATTCCATAGAATCCATAGAAGTGTTAATGTAGGTAGCTCTGAATTTAGTTAGGAACTGAATAGGTGAAGAGGAGGCTTTGTTTGGAAAGTACGAGCTATTTTACTTATGCCTCTTTATATTAAAAGCACAAATTATTTCTAGTCTGAATCTCTGCTTTGAACCACTAAAGGTGATAAAGAAGCTCATCCTTGTGGTTGGTTGAGGTCTTCTGCTTGAGATGTTAATAAGGGTGATACTTGTAAGATTTTTCAAAAACCAAGGTAATGGTATAGATTTTTCCCCTAGCCTTTAAAACTTGTTATAGTTCAAAGAATCCAGTGGAAATTTATTAATCCCACGTACTAATATAACATTTCTAGGGACCTTTTGTAGGTTGCTATAGGCATAGGCTCAGTCCTAGTTTTTTAATGAAGAAAACACTATTCTTAGGTATTTTATTATATTTCAGTCTGTGACAGTTTTGTATACTGATGTCTATTCTATTGTTGCTTTTTGCTTTTAAGACACAACATTTCTGTGTTCAGTTTGTTCTGTTATGCCCATTAGTTCCTTTGATAGTTCTTAAACAATTCTGTATTTTTTTATTGAAATGGATAGTTTTTATTAAAAGTTGTCATCATGAATAAGGGAAAGTATTCCTTCATTTTTGAAAGTATAGGATTAAATGCTTTTCAGTTTCCAAACATGACATATCTTACAAATTTTCTCTGTTGAAAAGGTAGATGTTGAGTTTGTCACAGTCATTGTGGAAACACATCAGTTAGCACCTTTAAGTTTGTTTTATGGCAGACTGTAATGTGACCTTATTCATAGGTGAGTTAAATGTTACTGAAACTGAAAGCTTTCTTCAGGAAATTCATTTAAGTACAGGAATACTTCCACTGACATGAATGTTAGGCATATAATTGAATATCGTGCTGAATTAAGGTCTAACGTCATTTGGGATGTGTTGCAGCAGAAGTGTCTATTAGTCTATTAGTGTTACTTCAGGGGAAAAAAACGAATTTAACAGACCTGGAGCTGTGGTAGAAATTAGTACCAACAAGTAAATTGTATCTAACATTTATTTATTCAGCCATTGCTTGACAGTTGAAAACAAATACTTTTTTTCACTTGAAAGTGTATTTACTTCCTCAGGACTTGGGGGATATTGGAGGGACATGGGTCAAAAATACGTATGCTTGTATTGCAGTGTCAGTTACCCCCAGTTCATCAAAACACACTCTACAGATAGACATTTCAGTTGAACCAGATAGGAGTGTTGCTTCTGTGCGTTTTCTTTATTAGCCTGTAGATTTTCAGGGCACAGGATGAAAACGTCCAACAATGTTTTAACATTTTGGGGAGCTTAAGTCAAGTTCAGTCTTCATTTAAAATCAATTTTAAATAACAAGAGGTAGAAAAAAGGTGACACTAATGAAATATTAGTCCAAATATGAACAAGTGTCATGTCTCAGGGTGTCCCTTTTACACTGGTTTGTACTATACTATATAGAGGAGCTATTTGCTAGGCAGAGTTAGAGCTGGAAAGAAGAACCTGGTGCGATAGCAGTGAGTCGGGCAGTGTCACTCACCTGAGAGCAACATTGACAGCATTTCATACCTTCAGAAGAGCCTTTGGTCCTAGTAAAAGAATAGAAGGATAATTTCTGATTGTTTCTCTTTATGATATTAGTTTGTTCTGCAGTAACTGAGACAATTGCTTTTGATAAATCAATAGAGTAATTTCATTGGTTTTCAAAGAATTAATGTACTTGTTTTATCTAGGGAGTAATAAACTGAGTAACAAGTAGGTAAGAGGTGTTTTCCACAGAGTTTAACAGGTTCTGTAGTGCTGTGTGGTTGTCTTTCATAGAAGTGCTGCAAAGAACAATATTTACATGTAAGTGAGGATAAAGCAGAAATATGTCTTGGCAATTTGAACCACAGAATAATTAGAAGGGACCTCTGCAGATTGTCTGGCCCAGCCCCCTGAAGCAAAGCTGTTTTGAAGTCGAATGAGATAGATTGGGAATTCTGCAGTTGACGTCTGACTATCCCAAATGTTGAAGTCCCACAGCCTCTGTGGATAGACTCTTCCAGATGTTGGCCACGCTTGTGAAATTTTTTTTTCTTTTGTAAAATTGGAATTTCCCTCACTGTGGCTCATGTCTGTTGACTTTCGACCTTGAGGAAAATCATATTGTTTTCCAGTTATAAAAAGTGAAGTTGGTTTTTAAGGATTGCAATGCACATTTCTCAGCAAAATTAATTTTATGTCTTGAGTTTAGGAAACCTGGGTAAAGGATGCTATAATAATGTTAATGCTAGTTTCTTAGTATTGAAAATATAATATGGTTTTTAGTGTTAGCAATGACATTTTGTTACTGTAAGAAAAAACACATTTTGGTTTTCTTGTAAGTGAACGCTTACAGGTTCTTAGAAAATTGTTACTCTGCAGATTCCACTCCATTTAGGTCTCCTTGACATTGTTAGGCTGACAGATGCTGCAGTAGTGCATAAATGGTCACTGGAAGGTGTTTTTTCAGAAGGATGAACTATGGGTTGGACAGGCTTGCTTAAGGCTGGGCTTAATTTTAAAACCTACTTGCCACCTGTTTCTTAGATTATTATATAATGAATTCATATGTTGTTAAAGCTCACTGTAAACTTGCTGCGCCCGGGTTTTTCTGGCTATTTAGATATAATTCTTTTAAGTAAGTATTTGTTTTGAATAAAGAATGTTTGGTGACTGTAAGAGGCTGATTCCTGAAGCCTGTTTAATGATTTCTTCAACTCTGTTACCTTAAACGGTAGGGTTTTCCCTCCCCCATGCTGTCTTCAAAATACAGTGAGCATGAAACTGAAATGCTTTGGCTGATTAGCTGACTACTGTGAAACTGTCTGAATTGCGGGCATTACATTATAAAGATACTGTAAAGCCTTAGAGGAGTATCCTAAAACTTAACAAACTTTGACTAATTTTTTTTTCCCCTCTACAGGCTCATAAGTCAGTGAACTTTGTTTCAACTCTGCTTCAGATCACTATGTCCGAGCAACTGGATTTACCAGTGAGACAGGCAGGCAAGTTTTCAACTCTGTTTTCATTTCATCTACTTTAGTGATGCAGACACACACGTACGTATGCAAATACTGTTAAAGAATTCTGTTGTTTTTAATGTCAAATACTTAAGTTGGGAGTCACTTGAATTAGAGTCATCATGAACTGTGTCTGGCACTGTACACCTGGTAGGGAAGACAAAGAGAAGGTGGAAGGTGACTGGCTTTTCAGTGATTGCTTCTCTTTGTCTCTAGCGAATAATGGTCTTTGGGGAAGCAGAATGGTTTATGATGCTAGCACACTTGGTCCAGGGATGTAATTTAACCTTTTAATGGTAATAAACATTTCAAGTCTTTTGGAACCTTCCTGATTTGCATGAGCCATTGGTAAAATTGGACATTGAGTATTAGCAGCTCCAAACATCCCTCTAAAGCTGCTGTGGTTGCTTGGTAGAGGTTTCTAGTATGATACTTCAGTGGCTTTTCAGAGAGTTCAAGAAGTATAATCTTGATCACTCATTTGGATCTTGCATGTAGTAGACTGTTCTGAGTTGTAACAAAGTCTAAGTTGCATTTTTACTTGGTTGCACGATTCAGATGATGACTCCGAAAAGTTACTACTGCTTAACATGGATAACATGCAAAAAAAAAAGGAGGGGTTTGAAAACAACCTCTGAAAATTCAACTTCAGGGTAAGCCAATTAAAAACCAAAGCAGTCTGTAGAGCGTGGAGACAGCTCATACAACACATAGCTTAAAAACAGTGGATGTTTTGCAAAGCAATTAATGGTGTGATAAATCCCACTGAGGACAGGTTGAAGTCCGTATCTCTTTAGCCTAGTAATAGCATGTATCTGCTGAGTGTTTCTTACCTTTGCAGACTCTTTCAGAAACCCTCTGAATCTTCAGAAGGTGCATATGAAATTTGGGAATAGAAGTTGCTTTATGGATTTGTACACAGATTAATAGTAACTTTGTTATTAGTTTGTGCTTGGAGATTTCCTGTTGCATTCTGCAAGTCTTTTTCTTTCCAAGTTCTGTAATGTGTGTTCTGCCACATAAGCAGTTTGGATTTGGTTGTCAAATGGTAAATGTATGGGTGTTTGTGCCAGCAGCCTGGTTGCCACAAAGTGCTATGGCCCATAACCTTAGTATAAAAGAGCTCTGTTTCTGGCCTGGATCAGGAATAGTGTTGCCAGCAGGAACAGGAAGGTGATCATTCCCCTGTACTCAGCTTTGGTGAGGCCGCACCTCTTGGCAAGAGAACATTGAGGTGCTGGCAAGGGTACAGAGGTGGGCTACCCAGCTAGTAAAGGATTTGGAGCATGTGTCATATGAGGAGCGGCTGAGGGATCTGGGGCTGTTCAGCCTGGAGAAGAGGAGATTGAAGGGAGACCTCATCGTGTGCTACAACTACCTGAGAGAAGGTTGTAGTGAGGCGGGGATTGGTCTGTTCTCCCTAGTGGTGAGTGATAGGATGAGGGGAAATGGCCTTAAGTTGCGCCAGGAAGGTTCAGGTTTGATATTAAGAAGAATTTCTTTACTGAAAGAGTTGTCAGGCATTGGAACAGCCTGCCCAGGGAGGGCTTGGGGCGCCATCCCTGGAGCGGTGTAAGAGACAGGTAGATGTTGCATTGACGGACGTGGTTTAGTGGTGTTAATAGGGCTACAACAAAGGTGGGACTCCATCTTGAAGGTCTTTTCGAGCCAAAAATGTTCTATGATTCTGTGATTCTATTAGCATTCACTCCTGTATTGCAAACTTAATTTGATTTTTTTTTTTTGCTTACAAGGGATATTTTAGATAATCATTGCTATTGATTAACTTTGTTTTAATGAAAATGCTAAGAATTATAAAGGATTTTTAAGGAAATGTTGCTAAAATATTCCACAACTATTTATCTGCAGCACAGACAAAAGCAATACATTTAGTATTTTTATACAAAACTGCATTTTTACAGGACTAAAAATACAGACATCACAATAAGTGGGTAAAAGAGTAAAAACCTAGTAAATTATTAGGTTTGCATGGTTTATGTATTTTGATTCTTATACCAAGAAATGGTCAGTGAAGTAGTCATTCAGTTTTGTTCTAAAATAGATTTGTTTGCAAAATGCTTGCTTATTTTGTACTTTGAATGGCTATCAGCTGATTTGCTTTTTTGTCTTACAGGGGTTATCTACTTGAAAAATATGATAACTCAGTATTGGCCAGATCGTGAAACTGCACCAGGAGAGATTCCACCTTACTCCATCCCAGAAGAAGACAGACACTGTATTCGTGAAAATATTGTAGAGGCCATTATTCACTCTCCTGAGCTGATCAGGTATGGAGCTGGAACCTATTTATGAATTGGCTGTGGTTTCTGACTGTTGGGGTTTTTTTGTTTGTTTGTTCCGCAACTAAGATCCTCTGTATGCTAAATATCATTGTCATACACAGTGTATCCTAAGCATAGAATTAATGTAGATTGAAAAAGAATTTTCAGTTGTGCAGTGTGTAGAAATTTAAAATTCTTCAAATGGGGAATATGAACTAGAAAGCACAGAATGTAAACCTCCTAAACAAACCTTGAAGTAAGTCTAAGCTTGGGCAGTATTACATGTTTCAACACCACAAGAATATTATTAAAATAATGGTAGTAACTTATTTAATTTTTGTGCGTTTGATTTCTAGAGTACAGCTTACTACGTGCATTCACCATATTATCAAGCATGATTATCCTAGTCGCTGGACTGCCGTTGTGGAGAAAATTGGATTTTATCTTCAGTCTGACAACAGTGCTTGTTGGCTCGGAATTCTTCTTTGTCTTTATCAACTTGTGAAAAACTATGAGTAAGTTTTTTCTGCCATATAAATGAATATATTTGCATGTGGTTTTTCTGTTCTGTATGTATATTGTAATCGTAGAATTGCATGTGGGATTGTGCAAAGGTGATAGAAATCTAATTTTAGAAAATACTCTTGAATGTTTGCTACACAGATGTTGGGTTATATATCCTCCTCACTAAGAAATTACATAAAAACTGTCTTCATTAGAAGTTTGAGATCAGAAAAAAGAGATGTTCTGAAGCCTTAATTTTTCGCTGTTCTGTATGAATTGACAGCAGTAAGAAAGTCATCTCAAAATCATGACTTTTGCAGAAGATGATTATTTAAACCAGGTTTAAACTCTTAAACAATTTGTACTCCAGGTCTCACACATACAGAGGTTTCAAAGAGTGAAATCTTGAGTGTTCAGAGGTTCACAATTACTTGATTGACAGACAGTTACTATGATCACAGACAGCCTTGTCCAACCCATCATAGGCAATCTGTGTCAAAGCCTGCCGTTTGTGGGCATGTCCTGTGTGCCAGGCGCTGGGCTAGGATACAGGTGCACGTTCTTTGCTTTCTGCCTAGTATTATGCTCAGAGCTTTAAAATCGAGAATTCTCTTTGAGAAGTGATAAGGAGTTTAGCTGCGGGTCCTGGTGTGTAGAAAGCTCATTGGAGCTGGGTCAGAAAAGTGCAATCCTGGAGTCAGGGGATAGTAGTAGAAGTGGAACTGGTGGAATCCACAACTCACTCTTTCAGAGCACTGTCATGCATAACATTTTTGCTTCAGGTACTTGCTTTAAAATATTGCATTGAAAATTTCATTCTCCAATTCATTTTGTGCAAATTAGTGTAAAACAATTTTCTGAAAAATCCTGTTTAACAGAGTATTACTAAGACGTTTGTAAACCATATTGGAGTTTTTTCAGTGGCTGAAAATTGCAGGTTCCAGGAAAGGAAAATTAACCAGTTTCTAACTTGATTTTCTATTTAAACATCTTTAAGCAAGTATACAGCAAAGATTTGTGAGACATAAATCACAAAATGTTCACTGGTAGTATAGCAATTCTTGTTCAGGGAAGAATTTTGATACAAGCACAGTTATTGCATGATTAACTAAGATAAGAGGTGTGTTCATAATCTTAGATGATCAAACACTTTGGCTAAGGCCAGCAGCTGCTCATACTTGTTTAGCTTTCTGGTGAAGTAAAACAAGGATTGGTTTCACAAACCATGTGCGAATATGCACATTTAATTGCGTAACAATATGGGTGCAAATAGATCTCTGCAAAATTTGTTAAACTACTTATGTTGAGGCTTTTTGGGGGAAAATTCTGCATAATGTTATGTCTCTGAACAGTTTTTCCTGCTTGAGTTGTAGGACTATTTAGCTATTGAATTTAATTTTTTTTCTTAATCTGCAGAGTAAATATTTTGGGACTTGTCAACATCATATTTTTTTCTCCAAATCCCGCCAGCAAAATCAAATGGCTGCTCTTTGCATAGGCAATTTTTCTGGTCTTTTTCAGTTGTGTCTTTTGCAGAAATCAGAAACTGAGTTTTCCTGAGCAGTGTTTAATCCTTGTATTTAGGTTTCTATTTCAGAAAATACATGGAAACTATGTTATTGAATGGGATTTTAGAGTTCAGTGTTCTGTAGTAGTTTTTACAGAACATGCCATCTGGCAGCAGATTGAGGAAAGTATCTTACATTTCTACAAATTGCCACTGTTTAAGAGGCTGATCACTAGTACTTAATATTGGTGAAAAATGTAATAAAAAATGTACCAAATGTAATAAAAAATGTACCAAAAATGTAATAAAAAAAAAAAAAAATGTAATTAAAAAAAAAAACAAACAAAAAGACCAATCAAAACCCAACCCCTCAACCCAAAGTGTCCCACAAGAGTCCAAGAGTATTGTAGTACTAATTGCTTTGTCAAAAAATAAAGCTGTACAGTCTTAAAGTGATACTTTACTTTGTCCTCACCGGTATGGACAAGATCCTGTTCTGCCGTGGTAGCTCTTGAGTCAATGAGGGCTTTCTTCTTTGTAAGTTAAAAGTTGGGGGGAAGACTTCGAAACGTGACTTCATTTCCTTTCAAGAATTTTACACAGTTTTGAGAAAGGAAGTGGAGCCTTGTTTTCAGCAAAGCGGTGGGCTGCCACCGGCGCAGGAAGGCCTGAGGCACTATTTCGAGGTGGGTTGCAGTCAAAGCCCGCTCAGTCTCTGGCACGTAGCCTTGGAGCCCACATTCTCCATCAAACTGTTAGATTTAGGCAGATTAAATGGTGAGATGTGAGAGGAATCAATGGTAAACTCTGAGAAACTTCAATGTCAGTGATGTAGTCTGGCTTCTGGAAACATTTTGATTAATGATGAACTCTGATAAATGTCTTTCTGGAATTCTACTGACTAGCCCTGTGTCTGCCATTCTTTGCAATATAAATGTGCACCTTTTGCTTGCAGTTTTTGTAGTGGTCTGATGGCTTTTCACGGTAGTAATGGTGTGTCTGAACATGATGTAGTATTCAAAGTAAGTTGGCAGGAGTGCATTACCAGCAGAAAACTAATGTGTATCCATAGTGGTGTAATGGATGCTCAGCGGTTTTCTAACTTGCCTTTTAACTGTAATGACATCTGGCTATGGCTTTATTTCAGATTCTCTGACAAGAAATGGCTAGGGTTTTTTTTAAATCATATGTTGTTATGAACTGTAATATAACCTACTTGTGTCTATCCACACTGGGGAAAGGTGGACTTTAAAAATTCAAAAGCATCTTGTAAGATGTACAAAACTATTTTTTCCATATCTAAAGATACAAGAAACCAGAGGAGCGGAGTCCTTTGATAGCTGCAATGCAACATTTTCTACCAGTTCTGAAGGATAGTTTCATTCAGCTCTTGAGTGATCCATCTGATCAGTCTGTCCTCATTCAGAAACAGATCTTCAAAATATTTTATGCCCTTGTCCAGGTAAAAAATAAACTTTGTATGAACTTTGTTTTTTTGATCAGTAATTTAATTTAGATCATTATGCTTTTCCTTAAAATAGTAGATGTCAGAAATATTAACAATATTAGATTACGTCTGAATCATTTCCCCTACTGCTCAACCATGGTATGAATCACAGGGGTTTGGTGTGCTTGATTGTGCTTTTGTGCAGCGCTATTCCTGGTTGCCATTACATGGAACTTGGGTGTCTAAGGTAGCGGGATTGCTAGCAAACCAATTAGGGTGAATGCAGCAGTTTGCAATAAAACTGTTAATATGCTGTTATTGCTTCAGAAATTAGTGTTAACGTCCATTTAAGTAGTGTCTTAGCATTGTGCAAGCAGAGTGGAGTAAAGATCTTCAGCACCTCGGAGGATTTTGAGAGTGTAGACTAGGTTCTTTAGCCTGATTTTCCAAGTAATTTGCTGATTTTTTGTAGTAGCTAAATGTAGACAAAGATTTGCAAAAGCTAAAATTTGATCTGTGAAAGTAACATAATATTGAAGTTGCAAATTTATTTTGCCTTTTTGTTTTTTCAAAAAGTACACGTTACCTTTGGAGTTGATAAATCAGCAAAACCTGACTGAATGGATTGAAATCCTGAAGACTGTTGTTGATAGGGATGTACCAGCTGTAAGTGGCTTTTGGCTATTTATGTCTTTAAGCTTAAATATTTTTATTTATTACAGTGTTAAGAAATTTAACTTTACTTTACATTCTTTTTTCTCAATAGATGCCAAGAAACATTAATTAACATGTATTAAACAGACTAGATACATTTTGAAAATATGTATCCTGTATAGGAGTTCTGGTTTTGAATTATAGCACAACTTATTTTGGCTTCTTGTTTCAAAAATGTGTTGACCATTTATGCAGCATGTATCATGGGACTTTTAGATATTCTGTGCTTTATGTTTCTATTAAGCTGAAAGTGCAAATAGCAGGTTAAAAGGAAAATATGCAGTTGTTCAAAATACATATAATTTGAACTCTTTGTGAATAGCTGGTAAATAATCTTTTTTTTTTTCTTTTTCTCTAAAGGAAACCCTTCAAGTTGATGAAGATGATAGACCGGAGTTGCCTTGGTGGAAATGCAAAAAGTGGGCTTTGCATATCTTAGCTAGACTTTTCGAGAGGTATTTTCTTTTCCATTATTATTTATTAGAAAATACCCAAACAAATATTCAAGTCAGTAACACTGCTGCACCTTTGAATTTACGTACTTGCTTCTAATTTTAGGTATGGAAGCCCTGGTAATGTTTCTAAGGAGTACAATGAGTTTGCTGAAGTGTTCCTGAAGGCATTCGCTGTTGGTGTTCAGCAAGTAAGAAACACTGAGCGTTGGGGGTATTAGAATAAGTTTAGAGTTAGTAGTGATTTCTTATTTCGTTATTTTCTGAAAAGGTTTCTTGCTCTTCTTCGCAATTGCTTTTTTTAAGCACACTGGTATGGAAAGCACCATGGGTGCTTTATGGGTTAAAAGACTGATTAAACAAAGTTATTCATTTGCAGTGTATGACAATCCACTGAAAATAGCCTACGCGGCACTGATAATCTGTAAATATAGTAAATGCTCTCAAGTGATAATCCCTCAGATGAGCTTCAGATAAATGGCATCAACTTTTCTCTTTCTGTAAGAGATACGCACAATATTTATGGGACATAGTTAACCATACCTGTCCTTTTAACTCTGACGATGTAGTAGTTCTTTGAGTGAAAGTCAGTAAATACTAGGCTTTCTAGCCTTCTGAAAAAGCCGACTTAAGCAGGGGCTCGCTCACAAACAGCTACGTCTGGACACGTTCCACTCATCTTCCCAGTCTGGGGGTTGCCACTTCTCCAGGGTCTGTTCTGCACAAAGCATCTTCTGGACTACAACACTGACGTTGTGCCAAACTATCCTTGATTTACCTTTACTGGAGTAATTTTGTGATTCAGATACTCCTACCACATGGCAGCAGCCTACAGATTTTCCTGAAGGGACGGAAGGGATTGATGGGGCGGGAATTATCTGCCTCTCTTCTAGTGCATGTGTTTAAAATCAGTAATTTGAACTTTTTGAACTAGCAAGAAATTTTCTATGAATATTGGGAAATTTTTGGATCTGATTCCCTGCTTCTGACTCTACTGATGACTTCTTTTCTTTTGAAACAAGTTTGTTTATAAAAAACTTGAAGTAGTTTTTGTAAAATTTCCTTATATTTGCTATTAAATCTGCCTGTTAGGGTGATTAGGTTGCAAATGTAAATAGACTGTTAATTTATGAAAATGTCACAGAGCAAAGTGTTTTCAAAGGTGGTGTTTTAGTGAGAAGAACAATTCTTTAATTGTAATTTCCTTAATTAAAATTATTATAGGACTTTGAAAGAGGAAAAGGAGGGAAAGTATCTCCTAAATAAATGTTTTTTTGAAGGTCATCCAAAATACTGAAAGAGAAAAGAACATTTGTCACACTGAGTGTTAGGAAATATATCCCAACTTTGTACTCATGAGTGGAGTCAGCGTCACCTTCTGAGGTGCTCATCTGTCACATGTAGGTGACATCAGACATTTAAGTATTACATGTTCTTTAGGACCTTACCAATTGCTTTGCACTTCCAAGATAAAATGAGTTTCTGACAAAAGACTGTATGGGCAAAAGAAGTCTTTGAAAAGATAAATTTAAGCAGTTCAACGGCATACTTTGTGGGTTTTTTCTTTACCTTTTCTCTCAATCAAAACTGATGATAATTTCTGTTACTGCATCTGGGAAACACCTAAAGTTGAAATATTTAAAGAAAATTTTTAAAAGCAAGACTTTAAAATGCTTACAGTCTCCTCCTATACAATAATGTTACTCGTTTAGAAATACAGATTATTTAAAGGTGCTATCTTCAGTTTCTGTGTGGAAGATAAATCTTAGATGTATGCTCAAGCAATTGAGTCCCTCAGATAAATGCTATGGAACATTTTTGAACAGGGTGTTTTTTCCTTACAAAAATTTGGAAATTTATGAAATACTGAAGAATGCAAATTCTGACAATATGCTTCCCTGAGTTCTCTTTACTTTCCAAAGTGTACTCAGCCTTTTACTGAAGGAGTAATAGGTAAATACATGTTACAGGATCACAGTTTCTTCAAATACAAACTTAAAACATACTGCTATTGTTATTCTTATAATTACTTCTCATTGATTACTCTTCTTACCTACTCTTTGTTATTTGCATGTCACCAGCAACCCACTGCCTTCCCCCAAGAAATAAAAACAATATCTAGTACATTCAGCGTGAGTTCTGGCTAAGCTTTCTTAAGCTTGGTCAAAAGAGGCTGAGCTGCCTGGCTGGAATACCTTGGTTCCTATTCCTTGTATGAGCACCTGTTTTGCTCAAGATATTTCTTATTTTGAAAGAAGTGATGAGCCAGAACTAAGCCCTAGTTGGATACTACTGCCTAGTTGTTCCCTGGCATGGTTGCAGAGTTCTCCTTATTTGCCCTAGAGCCTTCATCCCACATCCTGTTTTTCCTCACTGCAATTCTTAAAGCTTTTCTTAATCTTTGTAATTTCTTCACTCATTGCATCTGAAGCTGCTTAGATTTATGAAAAGAGAGGACCAAAACACTGGTCCTAAGGAGCCTGGCTCTAAAGAACATTTGTTAGGCCTCAGCTTTGTCATCATTTCCAAGGACCATCCTCCTTCCCTTCATTGACTGCTGATGAATTTATGCAATTCTTCATGCTGTCCTATCAGAAAAAGAAACTTCAGATCCTTCTAAAATTCAAATACGCCAGCAAACCAGGCCTGCTCTTCTGCAGATTGTATTGCTGAAAGTTCTAGTTTGCTGAAAACCCAGGATTACTACTTTTGCCTAGAACGGAGAACCCCTAATTTATACTTTAAATCTTTGCTGAGCCTCCACCTCAGTCTGGTAATGGTACCATGTCTGTTTCATGTCCTTATTTGTGGAGAGCCATAGACTTGAAAAAACATAAATCCCTGTAAATAGTTCCAAATGCCCCCTCAGAAGAAAAGTCAAGGCCTGACAGCCAGGGGAAGAGGCTGGTTCATCGTTCTTCATAAAGCATCACGCTAAGGCTGCACGTGGGCAAGGATGACTAGACTTAGCGAGTGTTGACTATTTTTATGAATTCAGTGTTTGAGCATGAATTTCTGCCCCCAAAGAGAGTGGCAAGATCGAATAATAAAGCGCAGAGGGGAAGAATCCCCTGGGCTGTGTTGATGACGAGTTAGCATCTATGTTTTGTCTTATTAGAGGACTGTATTTTTAAAAGATGTGCAGCACCTGGAATGCGTTGCAAATTGCCTTGTAAAGTTAACAATGACATTTAGAAGGATTAGTCAGTATCCGGTTTAGACTAATGAATAAACAGTGGGTTTTTTTGTTGGATTTAGAGGGGTTCTTATGTAGGATTGTGAGGGAGGGTAGAATTCTGCTTAAAATGGTCTGTGTTCAGTATAAGTTCCTGATGAGATCTGATTTTTCTAGGTGTTGCTGAAGGTGCTGTATCAGTACAAGGAAAAGCAGTACATGGCTCCTAGAGTTCTGCAGCAAACACTGAATTACATCAATCAAGGAGTGTCACATGCAGTCACCTGGAAGAATCTGAAACCTCATATTCAAGTAAACCATTTTTGGGCTTTTAACACTTCAATGACTCATCAAGTACATGAGTCAAGTCTGTACAGTGTTTCTAGCCTTGCTAGAGTTCAGGTTTTGGGGACCTCTGTTAGAAATTACTGGTAGAAAGACTTTAAGCATGTTTCGTGAAGGTTACCTTGATACATGAGCAAAGCCAACTAATTGCTCTTTTTGCTGTCAGTCTTTTGTGCTTTAATATATTAAGGATTATAGCATAACACAGCAACATAACAAATGTGTAGATGGTGTTAACTACTGAATTTATGCATTGACTCATCTCTGCATACTATTATCAAAAGCAATTCTAATAGCTTACGCTGCATTCTAGCTCTGCCTTAAGTTGAAAGATCTCTTTTCTTGTAAGGTAGCACATAAAATCCACTGTGTCCAAGCAGTTTTAGAACATTACCATTTTATATGAGAAGTGGCAGGATAGACAAAATCAGTGAAATACAGAAGAGTAAATATAGAGATAGATATTTAGTAGTGTTAGCTGATTTTCAACTCTTTATTATTATTATTGCAGGGAATTATCCAAGATGTTATTTTTCCATTGATGTGCTATACAGATGCTGATGAAGAGCTTTGGCAAGAAGATCCATATGAATATATTCGCATGAAATTTGGTGAGAACGGAACTCATGTTAACATATCAGACAAAGACAGGATTTTTGTAGCTTTTTGTGAAAATAGAGATGGCTTTAATCTTTAAAAGGAAAAAAATAAAGCCAGTTTGTATTATCCAAATAACGTGACTTCAAGTGGCAGATAACATATGACAGTCAACAGCACAGGTGTTTCTGTACTTGAAGAAGTAGCTAATTTTTACAGTTAAAAAGTTTTTATGTCAAACAGTCCAGGTCTTCTTAACAATAGTTAGATAATTCTAATGTTGTTTAAAGTTTATGCTTTACAACAGCTAATATTTCAGGCTCTAGTGTTTTTACAATGTTGAGAAATCTCACATATGGCAGAGTTCGAACAGATTTAGAGTAATGGTAAATGAAACATTATGGAGTAAGCCTGGCATTTCACACTTGTCTGATTCACCTCCTGGTGCTTTGCTGCTGTGCTGCTGGGGTTTGCTATAGGTCTGTGCAGTCCTTTGGGTTAGGGAAGAAGGAAGATAACTTCACACTTCCTGAACAAATTCTTCCCTGCACTGGGGTTTTTGGGTGGCTAGAACGAGGAGTCTTGATGGGTTTGGGAGTTTGTTATCCCTCAGGTCGGAGGCAGACCCATAAACAGTACAGGTGTTGTAGCAGGCTCTGATCATCCTCTTCTGTGGAGAAATAGCAAACTGAGCATTTTTAATTGTTAGTATACTTGTCTGTACAGTGAGTAACATGTACGACAAAAATTGACTGCTATGTCTGCTTCTACTGTTACAAAAGACTTATCTTAAAAATTAGGAAGACATACAATTTTGAATTAGACATGTAGAGCCAGTGATTGTGAAAAGGAAGTATGTACTGGGAATATATCTCCAACCATGTGTTACCATTGTTTGGTCTTGGAACCAAAGGTCACCAAAACACCGAGGTCGCGGGTTCGATTCCCGCTCGGTCCCCATGCGTTGCCAGGTCTAGTCGAGAGGTGGCGTCCCTGCCCATGACAGGGAGGTTGGACTAGATGATCTCTAAGGTCACTTCCAGCCTAGGCCATTCTAGGATTCTGTGATCTGTAGTGAGAAAGCATGATTGACCACCTGAAAAACGAGGAGAATTGTTGCTTATTTGTTTCATAATAAATCATTAGATTACATTAGGATCATGAACTGTGCTAAAGGACTAAAACATATAGCTGTTACTTGTTTATTTCATAGATGTGTTTGAAGATTTCATTTCTCCAACAACTGCTGCTCAGACGTTATTGTTTACATCATGTAGTAAAAGGAAAGAGGTAAGCTATTCAAGGATTTTACTTAAATACAATGTTAGCTAGATTTTTGTCTCCATTTGCTGAAAGAACTACTGAAAAGTTTTACTTTTCTGTTCCGTTATATTGTAGTACACTAAAATTAATAATTTCTCTCCACTTTGTCTTGTACTGCTCTATCTGTGATTTTTCTGTTTGCCAATTCCCCTAGGATCAATCAATATATCTATCTAGAATGTTGCGTGTTTTTCAACAAAAACATAATGTATTATCCACACTTCAGACTTGGAGCAGATTATTAGAGATTTAAGCTTTTCGGAGTACTGAGAATAGTACCTGAGACAATTGACTGAAACACTTTGACTAACCTTATATTTAATCTAGGTCTTGCAGAAGACAATGAGCTTTTGTTATCAGATCCTTACCGAGCCAAATGCTGACCCTCGTAAGAAAGATGGTGCTTTACATATGATTGGTTCTTTGGCTGAAATTCTCCTAAAAGTAAGCATGACCGATCTGATGGCTCCTCTGTCTTTCCTCCTTTCCTTTCTTTCCCATATAGTGTCTTAGAAGAAATGAGAATAGTTCTTTGAGTTTACTAGTTTGCATCACTGTCAGTTGTTTTTTTTATGCTGTTAAACTTATTTCAGTTTTGTTGTCAGCTTAATTACTTAATTATCAGTCTCTTAAGTTCAAGTTCTCTGCTTCTAGTAAGGATTGCTACACTGGTTCCTGTGATATACTTAACTTTTTTGAGGCTGTTCATTTAACAGGATATTTTCTGCATATAGAAGAGAGGAAATAAATGAAATTAGCAACCTTGCTCAATTAGAATGGTAGCAGAAAAAAGATGCAGGACATGGACTTGTATTTGGAGCACAGCTCTGAGAAGCTTCCCTGACACTTTTGATACCAGAGCAATGTATGGCCAAACAAAAGGTGTCTCTAGGAGTAAAAAATGACAGGAAAAAAACCTGTCACTATTTTGGCTGAAAATTACAGAAGTCCATGTATGGTCCAAGTTTAATTACTAATATGGAATTTTATTGTTGCTTAATGGTCTTTATTTAAAGGGGGAAAGTTTAAAAGTCTGAGGGCTTTGTTACTCTGTTCACACTTTGCTGTGTGACATTTTTTACTGTATTAGAAATATGTTTTTATATAAAGTTTTAAATGTGTTTTATTTGAAATGTGTTCTTGGTTAAATATGTGTTCTATTCATATTCTGACAGAAGAAGATATATAAAGATCAGATGGAATATATGTTGCAGAATCATGTGTTCCCTCTCTTCAGCAGTGAGCTGGGTTACATGAGAGCACGGGTAAGAAAGTGTAAGATTGACTGTTCAGGTACAGCGTCTGTTCCAACTGTAGAGTGCAGGAATATTCTTTACATTTTTCCCTTTAACAAATCCACCCCTTTCTGTGCCTTTTCTCTAAAAAATTGAATGCTTATTTCAGAGGTTAGTATCTGTCGTTATGTGTGATTATAAATAGCTGTTGTCTGGTATTAAAATGGCTGCAGAACTGTGTGCATAGTTTTCCATCTGTGTCTGGTGGTGTGGTCTATTTGTGTTTTGCATTTAGACCGTACTGCTCACACAAAACCTGTGGCCAGAGATGAACCTGAGATCATAGTACTGGCCTAGTGACGTCTCACAGACAAGCCTCCCACTGGCCAGCCTCCACACTCTCAAACATCTTCATCTGTTAAAAAGTTTTACAGTATCTCTGTTCAACTTCAGATTTAAGCATGTGCAGGTTATGGTTTTACAAGTAGTTGACAATCCTGTTTGTAGGTTTTGTAATTCTGAATTTGTTCAATGTCTTTTTTTTCAGGCTTGTTGGGTTCTTCATTATTTTTGTGAAGTGAAATTTAAGAGTGACCAGAATCTCCAGACAGCCTTAGAACTCACAAGACGGTGTCTGATAGACGATCGGGAAATGCCTGTGAAAGTGGAAGCTGCAATAGCACTTCAAGTTTTGATCAGCAATCAAGAGAAAGGTACCCTGCTTTTCTTAAAGCTTTAATGGAATAGGCATTCATATTGTGACATTCAGGGAAACTAGTTCTTTTCTTTCCTGCCTTACTTCTTGTAACTGCAACTTGTGATTAGTTACTGTAATTTTTCAGCTGGAAAAAAAAATATTATTTTATAAATAACACTCATGATTTCCTAGTACAATAAATCCAGTTTTACAGCACCAAATCATTGAATCAGAAATACAGTGGCAATACAAGTGTGTCTGTCTCAGCTTACATCCATTTCAGTTAAAATTTATATTTTTTATAAAAATTCTATCCTGGCCGGCTTTTTGCATTGCTTTCAGTGTTCCTGAAGCTGGTGTAAAAGCCATAAAGCAAACATAAATTCTCTATCAAATGCTTTGGCTAATTTCCTGTTCCCATTGAATTAAAATTTGGATTGATAAGTAAGCTTGCATTCCATAGACTGTAGAACTCTGGTGTTCATATTTCAGTTGTGATACTTTTGGTTTACATTTTTATTTTTAAAAGTTTAACATGTTCTTACTGCTATAATCATTTATACTACCCGTTGTTTTGGCATATTAATGCCTCAGTACTAAATATCAATAGAGTGTATATTGACTTTCTTATACTGGTAGTAGTTTGGTAAGAATGTCAGTTCAAATATTTCCACTTGTTTTACAGCTAAAGAATATATTACTCCATTCATTAGACCTGTAATGCAGGCTTTACTTCATATTATAAGAGAGACTGAAAATGATGATCTTACTAATGTGATTCAGAAGATGATCTGTGAATATAGTGAAGAAGTTACCCCAATTGCAGTAGAAATGACACAGCATTTGGTAAGACTTTCTGGTGACTTAGGGACGTTTAATATGTCAGGTATTTAAAATGAATTTTAAACTAGTTGTCCATCAAGCAATAGCTGTTGTTACTCCAGTCCGCTGAAGTGCATTGGTACAAATAATTTTCTTCTACATTTATGCTTTTTTTTTCTTCTCAAAAGCGGCTTTCTAACTTGAACTAAATGGAAATTTCTAAAAACGGCTGTAGAAATGTTTGAGAGATTTATGTACGTATTTTCTCCTGACAGTACTAATATTGAGTTTTGGTAGGGCAGTTTAGGTAGTTTCTGCAATGTGACTTAGGCTTTCTGTTTTGAAATGGGAAATTAAAGAGCAGACTTTTAATGTAAAAAAACGTGTGGAAAGAATGTTTTGTATGTAATGTGAAAATAAAACTGAGTCTGCAGGAGAAGTTCAGAGCTTGGACTGCTGTATGTAGCAAGGTGTGCTGATGGTTTCAAAAGCAGAGGTCAGCTCAGTGCTGCCCTGTTAAAGGCCCTGGCCTTGGAATTAAAACTGTTTCCATGTCCTCCCTGGGAATGCCTGCAAAGTGGTCCAGTCTGTCTCAGCTACCAGTTAAACCTTGTGCCAGAAAAACTTACTTGGAGAACATGTATTTGTGTGGAAAGTAAGGTCATTTACATCTCTAAAGATCCTTTCCAGCCTAACGCATTCTATGATTCTATGGTCTTTTTACTCATGAATGGATAAAGGATGACAGCTCAGATGGCTTAATGTTCAATTTTATCTATATTGAAAACAAACTCTGAAATCAAGTGGTCACCTTCTAATATTTGTACACATTTTCATAGCAGACGTCGTACTTCAGTTGTGTAGAATACTAGACTTGTGCAATTGTTCTTCATCTCCAAGCACGTCCTTGTTAAATGATATATTTATGGATTGTTTTGCTATTACATGCAGGCAATGACATTTAACCAGGTTATCCAGACTGGACCAGATGAAGAGGGCAGCGATGACAAAGCAGTGACAGCAATGGGAATCTTGAATACTATTGATACACTTCTCAGTGTGGTTGAAGATCACAAGGAAGTAAGTAAAAATTACTTTAAAGCTCATAGCTATTGTTTAAGACACTAAAAGTCTTTTGTAGTTCCAGCGTTCCAAACGTTATCTGAAAAACTGTCGTTTCGACCAAACATATTTTAAAATAAAACCAGTTAAATACTTACGATGCAATGAAATTGTAACAGAGTGGGTGACATTTCTAACACAATACGTACAGTAATAGAGCATAAACGTTGCCAGGGTATTTCCTGTGAGAATCCAGGTTCTTGTTCAGGTAAGTGGAAGCAACTTGTCTCTAACAGATAGAACTTCCATCAGCTCAGCTGGAAAAACCCATCTGATTTGATGAGGTTTGCCCTTCAAAGGAAATAGATAAAACCTCAGTTAGCTTTGAGCATTGGCTCTGCTGGCTTAGTTTGCTCTCTGCAACAGAATCAGTCTGTAAATACAGTGAAATGATGGATTTTACATTTGCTTAACCTGCAGTGTAGAATTCTCCCATGTGATGAAAACTTGTGTTACTTAGTATGATTGCACTGAATGGACTAACTTCTGCCCAGAGTACACCTTGCTCAAAAGATGCTATTGCTGGTTAAAATTATTTTTTTTTAATAAATATATTCTAGTTTTTTAGTGACTAAACAAACAGTTCAGCAATAAATTGTATGCTCAAGATTGTGAAGACTTTACAAAGAAAGCAGCATAACGCATCTCCTGAGTAGCCAAGGGACGATTCTAGTGTTGCCCTGCAATAAAGCAAGGACCAGTCTGGCTCATTCAGTTGTTGCTAAAGCTGCTCAGCAAGCTTTTCATGTACTTATTTTTGTCAGCAAATTCTTGCTGTCTAAATGAAAAGTTTGTATGACAATATGCTAGTCCTGAGCAACTCAACTGGAAAATGTTGATCAGTAAACATTCACGTTTTGAGACATCTCATACAGGATGACCAATGTTCAGAGAGATACGGTTAGTTTCCAGTCTTATTCTGCGTATCTAAGACCAGAAGCTCAACCCTCTCTTGTGCCTGTGCACACTAAGTGCCCTGAACGGGTTTATGACTGTTTGGTGAGGTGTTCCATGGGCTCATAAATACTAACTGGAAAGTGCCTGCATCTGTGAGCTTGTACACTGATTGTCCACATACCATGTGAGCATCCCAAGCTAGGTTTGGGGAGTGGTTTGGTAGTTATTTGGTTTTGGATTTGTTTTTCGAAATTTCATTTTTCCATTAAAGCTTAGGCTTCTTGCCATTTGCATTGCTTACGCCTTTGATATATACCAATTCTTGCAGTATTCAAAGAATATTCCAAAACCACCATGTATTAAAAGCTGTCTTACAAATCCTTAGTTAAGAATGCTGCTCTTAGACATTTAGTGATGTAAAATGTGAGAAATACTGGAGTGTTTTTAGAAGATTCTATAGTATGAAGAGAAATGGCTTTTGAGTAATTTTATTTTAAAATGTGTTTAATTTCAGCTTCAAAGTATGGAAAACAGTCATAAATTTCCTTTTTTTTTTTCAGATTACCCAGCAGCTGGAAGGGATCTGTTTGCAAGTGATTGGAACAGTTTTGCAGCAGCATGTATTAGGTATCTCTAGTTTTACTGGCTTATTATTTAAGCATATGGGATTGCCATTAAATTCACCTAGATTCTGTTTGTTTTAGAGTTCTATGAAGAGATCTTTTCCTTGGCTCACAGTTTGACCTGTCAACAAGTTTCTGCACAAATGTGGCAGCTTCTTCCTCTTGTTTTTGAAGTCTTTCAGCAAGATGGCTTTGATTATTTTACTGGTAGGTAAAATTGGAAAGTGGTATGGTTTCATATATGTGATTTCAAACATACAATGAATTACATCTTGATTGAAATGTTTGGAGAACACTGAAGTGAGGCTATTCTTAAAGTATTTTATTCTGCTATTGCTGTAGCTAGACTTGTTTTGCTAAGGCTTCTATGACTAGATGCTCGCTTATCCTGACAAACATTAAGCCCAGACCTGTAATTAACTTATTAATACATAGATTTCAATCTGATTTTAATACCTTGTCTAATAAAACACGCAAACAATACCTGTGATCATTCTTCTTTTAATACAGATATGATGCCTCTCTTGCATAATTATGTCACTGTTGATACAGATACACTTCTCTCAGATACAAAATATCTTGAAATGATTTACAGTATGTGCAAGAAGGTGAGTAGATTCCTTTGTGATAAAAAGAACCTGTTATTGCTGAAGTAATACACCGTTAAACTGGATACTTTTTCCCACAACAGCAGACTGTGAAAATGAAGAATTATGACATCTGCTCTTAAAGCATTATGCTATTTCACATCCTCTGTGATTCCACAGAAATTTAAAGAGGTTGCATCAAATTTCAGATATATGCTCTTGCTAAAAGGGAAAAATAAATTATGCACAACCAAAGCAGATAAAAGAACACAGGTTTTTGTGCACCTGTATTTTGCGTAATACACTTTGTGCATACAGGCATGCAAAACACGCATATACGTATTGCAAAGGGTAGATGGTTTCTTTTGTCTGAGATTTGTAGCCTCACTATGGTCTTAAATCTATTAGCTAAAATCAGTGGAGCAGAGGTGGTACATGCATATCAGCTTTTCAAAGCAGTGTATCGAAAATACTCGTGAAAGGGATATCATCAACAGTAATGGTTATTTTTCAGGTCCTTACAGGTGTTGCTGGAGAAGATGCAGAATGTCATGCAGCAAAGCTTTTAGAAGTAATTATTCTTCAGTGTAAAGGGCGTGGCATTGATCAGGTTGGTAACAGCTTTGGTTTCTGTAACTATTTTAATAAGATTTTATTCTCAAATCTGCATTGATTATGTATTAATATGAATTCCATTCCAAGAAGCTTGAGCAGTGTGACTAATAGTACTGCCTTCTACTTCAGTGTCGCTCAGTTAACAGCACTATAGAGATAGTTATTGCACACTTTGTTTCCAGAATTTAGGAGACTGCAAAATTTATGTGTTTACGTGAATCTGGAGGAGTACTGGTTTAGGAGCATCTTTGTTCTGAAATTTGATACATTGCATTCAAAGTTAATTTATTTGAAAGAAAATCTTCTGTAGTGATTTGTTGGTTTGGTTTTTTTTAGTGTGGCATCTCTGAAGACACTATTTGTTTGGATAGCTGTTTTCTTGGAATGTTCATAGTATCTCTTGGTTTTGTTGTGGATATTAGTGCTCAGAGCAGATGACATCTTTTCACCTTTTCATTTTGTCTTTCTATATGACTTCTGCTGGCAATTAAAAATTATTCCTGTTTTATGCCCTCTGTATTTATGTGCCAGACTGATTTTATGCCATTTCTTAAACTTTGGTGTGAAATACAGAAAATTATTTGAGATGACTAAATTTGTAACGGTTCTCACTCTTCAGTGCATACCCTTGTTTGTGGAAGCCGCGTTAGAGAGATTGACCAGAGAAGTCAAAACAAGTGAGCTGCGAACAATGTGCCTCCAGGTTGCCATAGCTGCTTTGTATTACAATCCTCATTTACTATTAAATACATTGGAAAATCTTCGTTTTCCTAATAATGTGGAGCCTGTCACTAATCACTTCATAACACAGTGGCTTAACGATGTAGACTGTTTCTTGGGGTAAGTGTTTTTAATTTTGAAGATTATTCTCTGTGATACACCTCTATACTACCTGCTTGTAAATCATAAGAAAACTTACAACTTTTTTACTCTTCTGTTTTGTAGACTTCATGATAGAAAGATGTGTGTGCTTGGCTTGTGTGCTCTTATTGATCTGGAGCAAATACCACAGGTTTTAAATCAAGTTGCTGGCCAGATCCTGCCAGCTTTTATCCTTTTATTTAATGGATTGAAAAGAGCGTATGCCTGTCACGCAGAGCATGAAAATGATAGTGATGATGATGATGAAGCTGAAGAAGATGAGGAAACAGGTATGGAAACTGAAACTCCTTGTTACTTTGTATTTTAACTTTTTCTGATGGAGATGCTGAGTTCCTTTGTGGAATTCTTCAGAGTTCCCTAATTCCAAAAATCAAAAGCTGCAGTAGAACCTTGGGCATCTTTCAGCGACTTTCAAGTACATCTGACTTACATTCCTGTCCCTCTTTACAACTAACTTCCTAGGCTGAGGCTCTCCAAAGTCACATCAAGCTGGCTCTTGCGTGTGGCTGGTGTCATTGCTGGAAGGAATTGCTCCTGGGGCGTATTTTCTTTTTGAGTGAGGGATAAGAGCCAGTGCAACAAGTTTCCATTAATCTTTCTAATCCATTGTACAGTTTGGACTCTGTATTGCAAACTGTCCTGTGAGCTGGTGGTGTTTTAGCTGTGTGATGAAAAATGACAGTTCTTGGGGGAGTTTTGTGTTGGGTGTGTGGGTTTTTTGGTGGGAATTCTGTTTGGTTGGTTTTGTTGGTGTGTTTTTTTCTGAACTAATGTAATGTCAACTTCATCAGCCTTTACAGACTTCCCCGTATTTCTTGGTTCTACTGTTCACGGTACTCTGCTTAAGCTTTTAATTCCTGTTCCCTGTTTTTATCTTTCCATCATCAGCTGGGTGTCTTTGTGAGTGAGTGATTGGAACAGTTTTCCATGCTCAAAGGACCATCTACTGATTTTTGTTATCTACTTAAAACCCAGTTTCTTTTTGATCTCTGCTGTTGTATTCTGGACTTCCCAGGCTGCTCTCGTTATACATCTTTCATACTAGTACATTTTGTATTTATTTATTAAGCATTCTTTTCAACAGTCCTTCTGGATGTGCCTTTAAAAGTGCTTTCATCAAATTATTTCAGACTGTCTTTGGAGCACAAATATTGCTTTGCTTGAAGTTTTATCAAGTGCTCTTCCAAACTTAGTCACATATGTATTTTTATGACAACGAAGTTTTCCTTTCCCACTTAAACAGTTGGTGTCAGTGAGGGATGAGTGTCTGGGGCGGAAGACCATGGCACTGGGAGAGGAGTTAAATGAGCTTTGCCCTTTCTAGTCTGCACTGTACTGTCACCAGTTCCATGGGCTGCTTTGCGTAACCGGCCCTCTTCCTAAGCATTGTTCTTACTGTTCCTGAGATAAAATCTTTTGTGTTTTAACTCAGAGGAACTGGGGAGTGATGAAGATGACATTGATGAGGACGGTCAAGAGTATCTAGAAATTCTAGCAAAACAGGCAGGTGAAGATGGAGATGATGAAGACTGGGAAGAAGATGATGCTGAAGAGACTGCTTTGGAAGGCTACTCCACAATTATTGATGATGAAGACAACCCTATTGATGAATATCAGATATTTAAAACCATTTTTCAGAGTAAGTAACTAGTTCCTTTCCTCTCCAACAAGTTATGTTTTACTTCAGTTTTAGTGTATGCCTTGTAAGCTAGAACCTGTTGAAAGCTTCTGAACAAGCTTTCCAGCATGTGCCTTGAACAAATCCTTTCTTCAAAAAGGAGCAGCCATCGTTAAACTTTCAGAGCAGGGGGAGATGCTTGAATGAATTTATAGGGGGAGGGAAGAGGTGTCAGAGGTTATATTAGTGATTTTTAATGTCTTGAATTCTGTAACCTTAACAGTGTATTATTCTGATTAAAATGGTATTAAGTTAGTAAGCTTTGTATTACAGAACATTTCAGTGAATATTTTCCTTTGGCTTATGTTTTCTTTCTCTTGCAGCAATTCAGAATCGTAACCCTGTATGGTACCAAGCTTTGACACAGGGTCTTAATGAAGAACAAAGAAAACAACTGCAGGACATAGCAACTCTGGCAGATCAGAGGCGGGCAGCACATGGTATTTTTTCCCCTTTATACTGTTAATTGCTGCTTTTGCTGTTTGAATGCTGTTCATGTGCTCAAGAAGCATAAATGCTTATAATTCAGGCCTGACAATGGCTTGATAGATAAAACCCCCACATTTCTATGGAAATGCATGCAGAAATGTGTAGCTTGAAATGTATAGATGGAAATACACATTTCCATCTGCTCTTTACCACCTTAATTTTCAGTTGTCCATGTATTAGAGCTCGTTAAAAACAGTCTCATCATCATCTTGGAAGGACGGGATATGCAGCTAGTAAAACCAGACAGCTTAACTGTCACGGTTAGTTACCGTGATGGGTATGTGGACCTCAGATGCTTGAAGATCTTAAGGTTTGGTTGAAAGTGAGAAGCTATATTGGTAGTTTTCTCTCAGAATTACGTCACATGGTCTAGTAACCTAAACTCTAAATTAACTGCTTGGGTATGGGGAGAAAATGTATGTATACGAAAAAGTATGTTTCTGGTGGCTATTTCTGCCTACATTGTTCAACTGAGACATGAATGCTGAAAATTCAGCTGTTACCCGTTTGCTGCTTTTTTTCTACATGTGTTCTGTTACTGATTTGATGGAAAAGTCTATTAATGCTAATCAGAAAGAATTGGGCGCCTGTTAGCGAGAAGTCTAGTATTCATACAGGTCCTCTTTCTGAAATTTGAAAATTACGTACTTGTGTCCAAAAGCTAAAGTGTGGGCTTTAAAAAATAGAAATTAAGCATAGTTACAATAATACTGAGATAAATAAATAATCCACCCAGCTGTTGTTTGAGACTTGGCACATTTCTGCTTCTCCGGTGCTGATTACTTTCTTGGGTTAACCCTAGGTTAAACCTGTACTTCTGAGAGATTCAAAATGGTCAGTCACAAAATCTTCATCTGTCGTCCCCCTACACATGCACTAAAATATCTTCCTTCTCTTTTTTTGTTTTGTTTTTAGAATCCAAAATGATTGAGAAGCATGGAGGATACAAATTCAATGCTCCAGTTGTGCCAACTTCATTTAATTTTGGAGGCCCTGCCCCAGGAATGAATTGAATTATCACTTTTCCTGCTACTGTGTGATTGTAGTAAAGAGCTTGTGTTCCTCCCAATAGTGGTTCCAGAACTGGTTCATGTTATCTACAGCTCACTCTAATTGATAAATAAATTGGACAAAAGCCCCAGAAGTGGGACTTGATCATGCAACCTAATACTGGAAAGCAAACCAGAGGGGTTTTTTTTGAAGATAGGAAGAATCTGAATTTAAAGCTTCAAATGACACACTTTGGAAATCGGAAATCAAGAGGGGATGTCATGAAGGCAGCTTTTCTTTTTCTGAGGAAAAAAAATAGGCATGGGCTGCAGGACTATTTAAAATGTCTCATTTACAGTACAAGCTAGAAGGCAGACTTAATTTTTACACCTGTGGCAGTATGAGTATTTGCCCAATTTTTTCCCTTTTCTCCCTTCCTATTGGGTGTCTATTCTTTTAATGTAAATAAGATAAGGTAATCAGATAGCCTTACTTAATCTTCATCATTTCCATTTATCAAGATTGTTCATATGTAGAATATTGGACACTTAATGTAGCACTACATAACTGATAAATCTGTAAATGAATTAGCACTTTCATATTGAAATAAGCCTGCTAGCCTATGTACAAAAATAGCAAAATGTTTGCTGTTTATAAAAAATTAAAAGAAAAAATAAGGGATGTATTGGGGAAAATAATTTCAAGTTATTTAAAATGAACTAGCAGTTTTGTACCTGGTGACTTCGTGGTGCAGTCACCTTTGGTTGTGACTTGAATTCGGTTATGTAAAAAGGGGTTAGTGATACTTCATTGCTGCTAAAAAAAATAGCAACACCCTCGGTGTCCTTTGTTTTTCTTAAAGATCTCATTGTACAAGGTGAGTACAAGGTGAATTGGGATACAAATGTGCACTCTAAGCACTGAGGACAAAGTTACCTTCACTGAAGCAGGTAAATAAGATAAGAAGTTCCGCTTTTAAGTTGAAGCGTGTGGATAAAGTATCTATATATGCAACCTGTTGAAAAGACAGCAATTTAATTTGGCTAATCTGGACTGTGATCTGTGAATGCAATAGTTCCCCCTAATTTTGCGAAATACTCCGTTTGCAGCACACGGTAGTGCAGGCGCACTACTCTTGCATTTCGTTCCCCCTCTTTTTGCACTCCCAGCATCAGCGTGTGCTGTCATCTGCCTGATCCAGACCGTGTATTTGAAGTTTTGCCAATCTTTCGTTTTTCAAAGCCACAGTTTTCTTCCTTCAAAATTGCTATAGTAACTAGTATTTTAGCTGGAAAGGCAAAATACAGTTCCCTCTGGGACCACTATGAAAACCACTTTTTGAAGAAGCCAGCAGGGAGATGCTGTGAATGGGTTGGCTTAAATGCCCCCTTTTTCTTTTCTAAAAGCAAAAATCCATAGGTTTTTGATCTTGCCTTGAGATCATTGGTGTCAGGTCTTTTAAATCAAATGTTTGTTGTTTTTTTTTTTTCTTTTGGCTGTTTTTATATAAAAATGTCACCTGCTGTTACAATTGATATTAAACAAGCTACCTTAATTTAATGTAAGCCTCCAAAATTTAAATACAGGTTAAAAATAAACTTGAGTTTATATCTGTAAAAATGAAATGCACATATATATATTATGATACTCAAAATGCAGTCTTCAGAAAATTGGCTTGTGTGGTGTGGTTCTTTGCATCAGCAGAGTAGCAGGAATTTGTGGTTTGGGGTTTCCCTGAGGAGCCGACCGGCACCGTGCTCTGCCTTCCGTTTGTTGCACACCCGCTAGCGCTTCTGTGGGCAGCGCAGTGGGGTGTTCAGTCGCTCCTCTCTTGTCCTGCCTCTCTTTGGCACATGCATTCACCGGTGCACAGAGTGCTAACGGGAGAGACCGAGCCAGGACTAATGCCATGTGGCCCCAGCGGAATACCAAAGGGAGACTTTAAAAGCAAATTGTGGACTTGAAAGGATGGACGTTGCACCCGGTGTGAAAAAAGCCTAAAATCTTAAGCCTTGAATCCAAGTACCCATTATAGTCGTGGTCTGAGAACCACGGTAGTACTTTTGAATCTTCAGCTGACTGGCCAAGTACACATAGCAGAACTGTTTGGGGTTTGTTTGGTTTGGTTTTTTTTTTCGTAAATGTGTAACTCATGAGCACATACAGGTGTACTCTGGCCTCGATAATCTCTAGACAAGGTTTTATTTTTGTAGAAAAAGGTGTCAGACATAATTGCAGCATGCCTTTTCCTGTGCATTCCTTGACCTTGAAAAATGCCCAGTTTGACATAAATAATTCCTGAACATCTGCTTGTTGGGTATCTGCTTATCTTGTTATGCATCCCCAAAGATGCAAGAGAACTTTTTAGGACACTTCTGCCTCATGGCAGAAAATAGAACAGAGCAGCAGTGAGAAAGCTCTATAAACAAAGCAGATGGAAAAAAAAAAATTGAGGAGAAAAACAACAGTTTAGTGCCACTGTCATTTCTGGAACAGTTATATTTTTCAAGTCACAAGTCAAGGGAAGAGTTTTATCTTGGTGTGAGGAATACAGTCTTACTTCAAGGGTGCTTTTATGTGTTGCTAGACTGGTTAGCAAGGAGCATCTTTTTTAAGAATGGATCTAGAACTTTGCTTTCCTTTGCTCCAAGAAATGTATTTATATAAATTGCAAAACAATTTTGCATTGTTGTTGGTGGTGATAGTGCATTTTGTGATGCAATATATCAATTTCAGTGATACACTTATGTCAGATTTAAAATTGATCTTCCTCCTAGAACTTGCACTTATCCATTCCATTTTCAAGGATAATGCAACTCTAAAGGGAGAGCTGGGAAATTTAAAGCCTCTGTTTTTTCTATTATGGAAGATCTCCTTGGATTAATAAACATCTAAAGCAAATCCTTATCTTTACTTATTTCAGTGTGGTGTTTTGAATGTAGCTGTATTACAGTACTTGGGAGTCCTGGTCTAGTTACGTAGCTCTAAGGTTTGTGTTTTCTTCTCCGAGATAATTCTTCAAGCAGAAATCCTAGGCACAACCGCAGTGCTCTTAACTATGTTAAATACAAAAGGCTTGTGACACACACTAGTGTGTAAAATGTTGACATACTGGGTAAATTTAATACCCTTTTCCCCCAAATCACTGTCTTAAAGAGAATTACTCACAGGTGCCAGTGTAGTACAGCGAAGCACTGTTCAAATCTCCTGTAGCCTAGAATTACTACTGCAAGATTCAAGAAGTCTGCAGTGGATTAGTTACAAAATACCCAACAATAAACATGCAGATGGTTTTAATTGCACCTAGAAATTGGTACCTGGTAAATTTTATAGGTTACATTTTTCTCAAGGACATTTCCTTCTCTTCTGTCAGTTCTCACTCAGAGAGTAGAAACATGAAGTTTCTCAGCATCTTCTATCTTTGCAGGTCTCTCTCAAGTTCTGTTGCTTTTCAGCCCTTCCTCAAGTGCGCTTTCTCTTGCCAACCGTTTTCACGTTTGGACCCTGAATTTGTCCCCCTCTAATTCCTTGAGATGCTGCTCAGAACCCGTAGGCACCGTGTCCTTCAGCAGTTCGTTTTACACCTGGGCACTCACAGCCCTGCCAGTGCCCACCGAGCTACACGCCGTGTCCTCCTCCGGAGTTCCAGCGAGGGCACCGACGCTGGCCGATGTGGCCGATGGCTGAGCAGCGTGGCCGAGGGAGCGGCTCCTCGGTGGGGGCTGCAGGCACCGGGGGAAGGACGCGGCTCCGCAGTGGGTGTTTATTAGCGTCTGACCCAGCCTTGCCTGCACATGGGTTTCCATTTAACAGCTGTGGCCAGGCTGAGGTAACCCTGGGACAGACTTTGTGTGCTGGTTAAGACTTTACGGGTCTGCCGTGGCTTGGGCATTTTGTTTACTTTAAAGAGCGTAGTTGGGAAGAGCACTAGAGTTCTGCATTTCTGCTTGAGCCAGTATTAAAGTTATAACCACAATGCACTATTTAAAAAAAAAAAAAAAGATTGGAAGGGCCGAGGTTCCCTATATTATGCTGTTATGGATTATAAAAGCAAGAGTTGAGTTCCTAGAGTTGGATTTTCCTCTTCTGTGTGCTCTGTGGGACCTTCTCCATACCCAGGAACGTGGAAGGGCTTGCTTTGTCTGGTGGTGTGGCACTGCCTGTAAATTACTTTTCAATCAATGTAGATTATTTAACTAACAGCGTGTTGTTGTTTTGCCATTCTGCTTTTTATAACTAGACATCCCCAGATGTTTGAAAGGGAACCTCATAATGGGAAATGTCAAGCTGTAGGCTTAGCAGATGTATCAAGCTATCCATTGAGAGTTGGTAAAGCCGTGGTTACTGCACCTCACTTTTAACTGATGGCTGTAACTTGTATTTCGGGTGAAAGTTGCCCATTAAACAGGAAGGAAAACTTGAAACCAAGAAAGGCAAATTACTCATTGGGCCTATTTGGGAATGTTATTTTTGGCTGTTGGTATGACTGCAAGAATTTAGAGCTATTATTCTGGAGTTTCGGGAAGAAATACTGCAAGGGTTTTACACCTGTCATGTTCAGAAAGGTCAAGACCTAGAGAGCTGGGCACTGTGTCCAGATTTTCGTGAAAAATCATCTACTGAAATAACTGTAATACTCTGTAATTGCCTGTGGAGCTGCTGTTAGGGACTATTACACGTTTCTACACCGAAAAATCATGTAAGGATAAAAGTTCTCGAGTGCAGCTTTCAGAGCAGCGCCCTTATGCCCCCGAGCCGGGCTGGAACGGCCCCGGAGCGGAACGCGGCGGCGCGGGGGAAGGGCAGGC